TTAAGGACAAAATCATATGGTTGTCTCTATAGACTCTGAAAAGGCATTTGATAAATTTCAATAAAATTTCTTGACAAAGCACTCAAATAAAAATAAATAGTTAAAGATTTAACATGAGAAAATGTATCTATCTTGGCTATCCAAAGCCCACATCAGGTGTGACAGGGAAACAGTGGAAAAGCATTTCCACTGAAGTATAAAATAAGACACTATGCCCAAAATCATCACAATAACCAACAGATGGCTCATGCTTTCACCTCCTTCACATCTTTGCTCAAAATTTACCTTTAGAGGTACAGATCTGTGATTCAACAGTCTTGCACAATTCACAGCACTCACCATAGCACATACCCTCCCCAATGTCTATTACCCAGCCACCTCATCCTTCCCACCCCCCACCACTCCAGCAACCCTCAGTTTGTTTCCTGAGATTAAGAATTCCTCATATCAGTGAGGTCATATGATACATGTCTTTCTCTGATTGACTTATTTCGCTCAGCATAATACCTTCAAGTTCCATCCACATCGTTGCAAATGGCAAGATTTCATTCCTTTTGATGGCTGCATAATATTCCATTGTATATATATACCACATCTTCTTCATCCATTCATCTGTCGATGGACATCTTGGCTCTTTCCACAGTTTGGCTATTGTAGACATTGCTGCTATAAACATCAGGCTGCACATACCCCTTTGGATCCCTACATTTGTATCTTTGGGGTAAATACCCAGTAATGCAATTGCTGGGTTGTGGGGTAGCTCTATTTTCAACTTTTTGAGGAACCTCCATACTGTTTTCCAGAGTGGCTACACCAGCTTGCATTCCCACCAACAGTGTAGGAGGGTTCCCCTTTCTCCGCATCCCCGCCAACATCTGTCATTTCCTGACTTGTTAATTGTAACCATTCTGACTGGTGTGAGGTGGTATCTCATTGAGGTTTTGATTTGGATTTCCCTGATGCCGAGCAATGTTGTGCACTTTTTCATGTGTCTCTTGACCATTTGGATGTCTTCTTTTCTAATTTTGAATATATTTTTAAAAATATTAATGGATTTATTTTTAACTAGATAAGTTAATTCTACAGTTCATAAACAAAAATAAATAAAGGCCAGAAAAAATTAACAAAAGCATAGAGGTAAGACTAGCCCTATCATATATAAAATTTATTTCAAAGCCTCAATAACTGAAACAGTGTGGTGTTGGCCCAAAAAGGATGAATAAATAGAACATAATAGAATGTCCATAAATAGAATGGATGAAAGACTTTCAATGTAAATAACAAAGTCATATATATGACAAAGAAAACATAGAAAAAAATCCTTTATAATCTGAGGATGAGCTAGTATAGTTATGAGTACAAATTCAGAAGCCATGATAATTTTGCAGGATATAAAAAACTACAGCAAAGTTTTAAAAAATTCAAAGATAAATGACAAAATGGATGAAATATTTACAATTTATCACAAACAGTTGGTTATCTAATATATAACCATCTCCTAGAAATTGATGAAAAAAAAGACCAATGACCAAATAGAATATTGTATAAAGAATTTGAAAAGACAATATGCACCAAAAAAAAAAAAAAAAAAACAAAGGCTCTTAAACAAAAGAAAGCATCCTCAAACTCACTCATAATAAAAATGCAAATCAAAATTACACAGGTATTATTTTAACTCATCAGATTGGCAAAAATTCAAAAATTTAATTAATAAGCTTGGTTACAAATCAGCAGACACTCTTATACACTGCTGATGGTAATGCAATTTGGTACAACGTCCATGGAAGGTGATTTGGCAGCATTTATCAAAATTACAAATGCTAATACCCTTCGACCAGCAATTCTGCTACTGGAAATTTATCTTATATTTGTGCACAGGTACAAAATGACATGCATACGAAGCTGTTTGTTGCAGCATGGTTTGTAACAGCTGGAAAACTTTGGAAATAACCCACATGCCCATCAATGGGGAACTAATTAAATAAATTATGGCATTTCACATAATGGAATAATATGCAAATATATTTTAAAAAATAAAGAAGTTTGTATGATTATAAAAATTTCTCCCAGATCTTTGTGCTAGTAAATGTGCTATTCCTTCTGAGGAAAAGCAGGGAGGGGGCAGTAAAAGTACTTATTCATTTTTGCTTATATGGAGAAACTGGAAGGATGTGTGTCCCTCTGGAGGGATATATGGGAAGCTAATGAAATAATGGTGGGGGAACTGGGGGGATAGGTGTTAGGAATGGGATAAAGATGTTTTACTGTATATTTTTAAAATAAATTTTTATTTTTTAGTTATATGAATATATTATCACCCATAAAAAGATTTTGAAATGCTGCTTTTTTAACATTAATGGACACACTGGGCATTATAAGTGCTATATTAGCTGCTACAGTGTCATGCATTCAAACATTTTGACACAATCATGCTATAGGATCGATATTATTTTCACAGCTCTTAAGATTATTATAAATGGTCAGATTAAGCATAATCAGATTCTCCAGACTAACTTGAATCAGAAAACCAAAATATTCTAGCCATCTTCTTGTCCATATGAAACTATTCTCAAAATTCTTCTTCTCTGGGTTCTTCATTTAACTCTTTCCCTTAGATTATTGCCCCTTCTTTGCCCCTTTACAGCATGATGTTTAAGAACATAGACTTTAGAGATCATTTAACCCTGCATGGTTTATTGTCTACATGACCTTTGACGAAATGCCTTTGTTTCCTCATGTGTAAAACAGAAGTAACACAAACTTTATAGACTTGCTTTGAGTATTGAGTTAGTTCATGTACATAAAGCTCTTAGCCCAATGTTTGGCATACAGTAAGAGTTCTAGAAATACTAAGTACCTCTACTATTACCACATTGACTATTAAAACTTCCTGGCGGTCTGAATTTTCACTGAATTCTGAACTCTGCTGTGATTGACGGATACTGGTCACTAACCTCGCACTAGAGTTTCAGAGCGGAATATCACTTCAGTCAGTTCAAGTAACAGTTATATGGTTATTATTTAGACAATCATAAATTTATGCTAATTTCTCACCTTCAAATTAAAACTCCTCTGATTAAACACATTGAGTTTCTATGTAGTAATCTTTTCATTCTTTAATTCAAAAATAATGTTCATTGTGCATCAAAAAGTCATCAGCATTTTTAACATGCTTATACCAAAAACCCAATTATATTTTTTTACTATAAATGCAATTTACCTCAGTACTACATTCAGAATTATCTCAGTATCTCTAACTCACAATTTCTCTCAGTCATTGTAATCAAATAAAAATATTTTAAGGAAGAATATTTTTATTATTTTTATGTGATTACCATTTCAATTGTAAGAAACAATGCCAATTTTAATTATTTCAATGTCATAATCCACGTTAACAATAACATTAATTAATATTACCTACATACAATGTGTAAACTACTTTTACACATTGTAAAAATCTTTAGAGAAGGAAACATACCAGTAAGGTTTAATTATCAAAGTTTAAAGAGGATTAGAGAGCTGAGACTGACTTTCAGAAAACAATTGTGGAGCACAATGAGCCCACAGTAGAACATTGCCAAATTTCTTGTTACTAATAAACTTCTCTCTAACTTCCCTCAGAGAACATGCAACCAGAGTAACCAGTGGAAACATCAGAAAAACTACAAATTATGCTTAATTGGGGGGCTATAAACCAGAAATTTTTAATTAAAACACCAAAGCTTTAATTTTAATGATGGAACAATATAACTTGAAAAAAATAAGACTACTTTTGTTATTAAATAAATGTTTGGTGTGACGTTAAGGAGCAGGCACTGATTTATATATCCCTTGGGGATATAGGAAAAAAGTAAGCCTTGAGGGAGATAATAATCCACTAAGCAAATTGAAGCATGTTAAAATAATAATTATGATACAAATATTAAGTAATAAGGGCTGTGCTAAGGGAGTGCAAAGGGAGGTGACAACAGAAGTTATTTAGCATTTTAATTAGGCCTTTTAGAAAGATAAAAGTTCAATAGCCAAAAATGGTGGAAGAGGTCATTTCAAATAAAGAGAATAATATGAGCAATGACTGGAAGGAAATAGCAGAGCATGTTTGTAGAATTGAACATACAGACTACAGCATGGATAGTAACAATGGGAAATTAAAAAAACAGAAAGATTCAATAAGAAGCAATAATATAAGTCTGAGAAATTCAGATTTTTTTTTCATAAGCACTGGAAAGCTATGAACAGTACTTTTATCAAAAGAGTAATTTTAGAGAAGTTGCTATAGGAAGAACATACTGGTTAATTGTGTACAAATAGATTTGGGCTTTAGGAGAGGAGAAGAGAATGTTCTAGTAGTTCAGACAAGAGATTCTTAAGAGTCTGAACTAGAAGCTATGGAAATAGACAGGAAGAGATGAATGCAAATATATGGAGAAAACTATTACTAATTGCAAACATTTATTGAGAGATTACATTGTGAAAATTTTTTAATTTCTCAGTTGATCATCTCAACTATCCTGAAGAAGGTAACTATTATCTCCATTTTAAGGAATTCAATTAACTTAGTCATAAGTTAATTATACACACATAGCACAGTCTTAAGTATAGTTCTGGGACCTGAACCCCAGGCTCACTGACTTTTAAAGCCAACACTTCAACTCTCTAATACTTAAGCTTATTGTAGTGAATGTTGAGAAAACTGAAGCCAAAAATGTTGAGAAAACTGAAGCCAAAAATGGCACTAAACAATTGGGAAAATAATCAAAACAAACACAAAATCAATCAAAAACACAAAATATGAGGAGGAAGTTTTGGTTCAGGATGATTAGACACAAATCCCATCTTTAAACAACTATTTTCCTAAAGAGTATTATGTTTTCTGTGTGATCTGAAGAATGTTTCTTTTGCACATTATTCATAGGTTTCATTTTAGTCTTTAAATGTTTAATTTATCCTGTGATGAACCACTTCCAATTTAACCCACTGAAATTCTATTGCTTTATCAGGTGAGAAGTTTCCTGACAAGACGCCTAAGGTGCAGTTAGTGATATCTCATGAAGATGCGAAACTGACCATCCTAGTGAAACACATGAAAAACATTGTAAGTTTATTATTTCTAATAAGAAACATGTAAACCTACATTTAGAAATCACTTTCCTCCTTCTGGCAATTAATGTCAACATGAGTGAGAGGAATGGGGCCAGCCACCAAGTTTAAGTGAGGAACAATGGCCAATTACAATGTTCTGCCTCAGTATGATGGTGATCCCTGGGGTAAAGACTATAAAATATTTTACAGGAAATGTCCTAGGATGAAAATTAGACTTTATTCACAATGAAGTGTCAGACCAAATCTAGTGAAAAAGGTTTGAAAATGCAGGAATAGGTAGAGTATTAGGATCCAGAGGAAAAAAAGCTAGGTCCCAAGAATTTACATCTGCTTCATCCTGCTGAGCTTAGTGGAAGATTAACTCATCTCTTTGAATAATGTCAGCACTTTCTCTGTAAAGCCAGTAACTCTTAGGCTTTCCCCCCAGATGCCCACTGAGTATGTTGAGTTTCTACCACCAGAACAGTTACCATGTTCCGATGTAATTACTCAAGATATATCTTTCCCCTCAAAAAATAATAATATTTTTTTTGAGGAGAGGAGCCCCATCTTTGAATCCCAGAACCTAGGACAGCAATGGTAGTTAGCTTTTAAAGAAAACTAAAAGCTGTTCCTTGATAGCCCATTCCTCTCTGAAGATGGGTCCAGGCAGAGGCCTGTAGAGCAACTGAAACGTTGTCATTAAGAGAGGGAGGTTTTTGCATCACCGTGTAATTGATTAATGGTCCCAGTCTGTGTGCAGTATACAGAAAGGGGTAACTCTAAGCCTAGCTACTTCTCCAGTCTTCCCTTAATCTACTCAAAACAGGTTCTCCATGTGGTAAAACTCCCCAGGAGACCGCTCGATATAGAGAAACTCAGTAGCACTATTTGGCTCCATCCCTTATGCATATACGTCTCTCACAACGTGCTTGGAAAGACTTAAAAGAGCAAACTCTTCTCATTATGACATGTATCTGGAACACACTAGAATTTAATAAATACCTGTTCAGTGAACAAATAGTTGGCATAATTTGCAGTAGATACATCCTTTACAAACTTAGTACTAGCCAGATATCCAAGGATGCTTGTTTGTAAATCTGTGGTGTTCATAATCCTCAATTTTTGTAAGAACTGGGCAAATATTAGATGTGTTTTTGTAGACATTTGACTCATTAAAATAATTATTTTCAATTGCTTTTGATAAGATAATCATCTTAAATGAAATAGGAGTTGTTTAAGAAATTCTTAGTCTGGGAAATGAAGATTCAATTAGATATATTTATGGCTATCAGCGTGTTCATAGACTTTAAGCATCTACATAAATATTTGTGATAAGGTAATAGAACGTTAAGAAATGGTGTTAATCTATTTGACAGAACTTACATTTGTACATGATATGTGATTATTAATTGAAAATAGTCCTCTTGGAAGTATTTATTCCAGTCATGTCATTGCTCAAAACGGTTTTAGAACATGCCTGTTGATGTTGCTTTTAGATCTAGCACATAAACCACACAGTAAACTTGGTGGTATTACTCAATAGTCACGCCTAATATTTGATCAAAAGCGGTATTAACCAAACTGGTCACCCATTTTATTCACCAGATAAAATCCCCAAATTCCTTTTGACAGTTTTCAAAAATGCATTTTATAGTGAGATGAAGTTGCACTAACAATAAGAGTATTCAAAACAAATGTGATGCAGGCATGAAGGGAGGGGAGAGAGTGAGTTAGAGCAAAAATTTAAGATTTAGGTCAAGTGATGGGTAAGTAGCAAATGACTAGGTGAATCCTACCAAAAGTAAAAGAAACACCTATGGCCCCTAGAGCCTATACATTGCCAATGTCCTCTGAAAGAAAGTTATTAATAATGAAGTGATACTTCTTGCAGTCTGACTTCTCAGTCTCTTCTCCCCAGTCTCTTAGCATTGCCCTAGAATTCATTCCTACACCTCTTCTCTTTTCTATTTCCAGCCCTATGGCTTTAAATATCACTCACATGTCTTTCTTTTCTATATTTATAACTCCAGCTTGGAATTTTCCCTAAAATCCAGAGGCGTATGTATAACTGATTACTCAACAACTCTAGTAGGAATTGAATAGGCATCACAAACTTCAGATACACCAAATCAAACTTCTGATTATTGCCCCCTAAACCTGCTTCTTTTACAATCTTTCTTATGTCAGGAAATAGCACCTTCATCCTACTATTTGCTCAAGTTAAAGTCCTTGGAGTCATTTTGACATCTCTCACAAACTACAACCAATTTATCAGCAAGTTCTGTTGGCTCTGCTTTCACAATAAATCCAGAATGCCACCACTTTGCACCTTCACTGCTACCACAACTACCATAAATTGGTCGAGCCACCATCATCCCCCACCTGAATCACTGCTGTAATCCCTTAACAGGTCTCCCTGCTTCTGCCTGTATTTCCTTCTAATCTCTTCCTAACCTAGGAATCAGAATATTCCTTTGAGAATAAAAGTCAGATCTTGTCATTCTTCTCTCATATCCTTCTGTGGGTGAGGCTTCACATCACTTACAATTAAAGCCATAGTACTTATTAATCGATGAGGTTCTACCAATCTGGCCTCTGTGACCTTTCCGACCTCATCTCCACAGACTCCCTCAATCACTCCACTCCAGCCTCAGTGACTTCCTTCCTGCTCCTTAAATATGACCAGCATGTTTCTGCCCCAGGACATTTGTACCTGTTATTCACTTTATCTGGAATGTTCTTCCCCAGGTTCATGGCTCAATCTCACATGTCCTGAGGGACTATGTCTTACTGCCATGTTTACAGTGAGGTCCTTTCTGACTCTTACATGGAAAACTGCAAAACCACTACTTGTTGCCACTTCCAAACTTCCTTTCCTTCTTTACTTTCTCCACTGCCCTGTGTCACTGCTATAACCCAAGGGGCTAAAACAATGTCAAGTATACAGTAGGTGCTCAATGAATACTTTGTTGAATAAAAGAATGTCAAATTATTTCTGATGTGAGCAACTAAGAATTAGGATCTTGTTCACCTTGCAAAAATCATCACAACAAAGTTCTCATGCCTTGCATTTTTCACAGCTTCCTTTAAATGACTATTTTATTTCTTCTGTTTATCTGAAGACAGAGATAACACTATAATATAAATGACAGAAAAATCTATCTATAAATTCTCCAAATATTTTCTTTGCTAATTTCAAGTTTTAACTAATTGTTACTTATTTTGGGGGCCTTTAGTATTTTCACATTCTGAAGTAATCAGACTAAAGAAGTTGTGCTTCATTTTAATGTTAAAATGAATTATTCCACCTGCAGTTCTGTTATATTTAATATTAAGTGTGATGAAAAGAATTGTTTATCTTATATTGAATCTTTGAAGCTTTCCTCTAAGAATTACTTTCCTTCTGTGAATTCACAAGCAAAAACAAAATTGCTAAAATTTTCCCCTTTTAAAGAAGCCCAAAATGATTTATTCTAGTGAACAGAGACTGACAAAATAAGTCAGTTATTTAGAATCTTGGCCAAGATTTTTTAAAATAATATCTCAGTTTATATAACAAGGAAACATATAAAAACCATTTATATTGGAAAAATTTTTTTAAATATTTCTAGCATTTTTCCCATATAGCCCACTATAAAATGCCTCTAGCCTTAACATCTGCATGTCTCTATGCGTTGCTGTGTCTACAATGTCTCTCTTGGTCTCATGAATTCCCCTCATCTGTGTCACTTCCACACTCTTTTCTTTTAGCTGCTCCAGAATATGTGTATTCTTGAAGGCTTTAAAAGTAATCAATAAGGATTCTAGACTCTTTCTGCTATTGAATATGCTCACACTGTCAGAGACTCTTACACTGTAACAAAATAATATGATTTCAAGTGAGGAAAAGGGAAGCAGGACATGCCTCAAATGGAGGGCTGTCTAATCGTTTCATAAGAGACAAAATAGAAAAGAATAGTTACTATATGAAAATTAACAGGAGAAAAGATAAGAAATAACAAGTGTTGACAAGAATGTGGAAAAAAAGGGAACCCTTGTGCACATTCCTAACAACAACGTAATGTAGATTGGTGGGAATGTAAATTGGTGCAGCCACTATTAAAATCAGTGTGGTTTCCTCAAAAAATTAAAAATAGTAATAAATACCATATGATCCAGTAATTTCACTACTGGATATTTATCCAAGAGGATGTAAACACTAATTTGAAAAGATACATGTACCCTTATATTTATGGCAGCATTATTTACAATAGCCAAGATATGAAAGCAACTCATGTGTCCATTGACTAATGAATGGATAAGGAAATTATGGTATGTGTATATATATATATATATATATATCAGAGAAAGACAAATACCATATGATTTTACTTATATGTGGAATTTAAAAAACAAATAAATGAACAAAAGCAGAAATAGACCTATAAATATAGAAAACAAACTGTATTGTTGCCAGAGGGGAGGGAAGTAGGGGAATGAGCAAATGGGTGAAGGGAAGTGGGAAATGCAGGCTTCCAATTATGGAATGAATAATTCATGGAGATAAAATGTACAGCAAAGGGAATATAGCCAATGATAATGTAATAGCATTGTATGGTGACAGATGGTAGTTACACTGTGGTAAGCTTAGGATAACATATAGACTTGTTGAATCACTATGTTGTACACCTGAAACTAATGTAACACTGTAAGCCACCTATACTTCAATTAAAAAAAAAAAGACTTATGTAGCCTTATTACCAATAAGTGACTCATACAGTAATTAATTAAAAGGTCTGTTCCATCTTGCTATGAATATCCATGGTATTAGACCTTCCAGCTATAGGCTCAGAAGGGATAAAGGAGAAGAAATGATGGGGCTTGTCTCATTCTATAAGAAGACAAATGTATCTTGAGAGACAATACAGGGGTAAAAACTTGATCTCATCATTTATAGCCCTTAAACTTGTCTTCTGACCATATCAAGTTCTCCAACAGTAAAAGAATTGGCTTCAAAAGCAATAAGGATAA